CCCCCCATGCCATGCAGTACCTGGCTTCCCATGCCTTTTTGTTTAGAAATAACATGTTAGCCCTATAAATGGCCTGAATTATATAACAAGGTTTGTTTATTCTATGTTGTCCTCCAGCTACATCAGGCAACGAAGCGATTGGCTCGCTCTCCTTCCTGGATGTGAATACTTTCCTACTTTGCAGTCTCAGCGGGAGACTAATGCTTGCTGACATCCGGCAAAGCGGAATTGCCATCGAACAAAATTTGGCCCTCTCTGCCTCCTGTAACAGCCAGTGGATTGCAGCAGTGAAACCTGAACATTCGGGCATCACCAGCCTTTCCTCAGGGGGGCACATCACCATCACAGACTCCCGGAACCTTGGGGCACCTCTAAAATGTGCCAAAGGAAGAATATCTGAACCCTGTACGCCAGAGACCTTCATGTGTATTTGTTGGGCACCAAGGCTAGATAACTGCATTTCCATATCAGGTATGATCCAGAGAGTTCTGTGTGTGAACTGGACCTAAATGTAATTTGCTGTATAGAGTGCCTTTTTAAAAGGTCAAAGTTGACAATTTGTCCTCTTTGTTATGGACCATATTGTTGGGTCATAATGAACGTCTTTCGCATTGTGTACATTTTGTCTCTTTTTTCCCCCCACTGCAGGCTTTGATGGAAACATACAGATCTATAACACAGAATCCTGGGATGAGACTGTGCAGGAGAGAGATGTGCTGTTCACTCACAGGGGCCACTCTGTCATGGGGGTGTGCAAGGACAACAGCGTCCCCCGAGTCACCTGTCACACCTGGCACCCATGGAAAGAAAGGACTCTCATATCGGCAGCGAATGATGGATCTTTACATATGTGGGACTGGCTGGACCGCTGTACTGGGCTCTGATAATAAAGTTACAAACGCAAGCATTCTTAAAGGGAACCTGAACTCAAAAAGTAAGGACTTTCTATGTTATAAGGAACATCTAGAAATGTTAATTTTACCTAAGCAATACCCTGAAAAAGTACTTTGTCTGGAATTCCTTCTGAAAATATAGTAGTCCACCTCTTGGTATGTAAGGGTATCTAGTCACTACTCCATCCTCCTATAGCCTCATAGCTGTGAGATCTAAGGCTGCTGCTTCTGACTGGAGATTAGGAGTGAAAATTGGTGATGGCAATAATGTGCTGCTCCCTATTCACCTTGCTGGAGGCTCTCGCATGAGAAATTTAAACCTTGCCTCTATAGAGATGGCCGCCTCCACCCGAAGACATAGTACAGAGCAAGGCATGGTAAGTCAGGAATGGGGAAAACAGCAGCAGCAGGGAGACCTTTTGTCCTTTTTAAATAGTGTCTCTCAATGGTTTCTCTCAACACTCCATCTTCCACTTTTTTTGCTGGACATCTTGGTCTGTAACAGACAATAAAACATTGTTTCAAGGGGGACTCAAAAAACAAAGACTGCTTTGTTAGTGACAAATTGCATCATATATATCATTTTTGATTTTTCCTTTCATTCCACTAACATTCATAGAGAAAAATGAGGTCAGATCCTGGCAAGTGCTGTCTATTATGTGTCTGGGTTAGGAAACTGGCTGAACAGTACATATGATGACCTTCATCCAACTAATTATTTTCATTGCCGACACATTTTTATGTTCTACTTGTTCTTTCTTGTCGTGATTTGTATCTGATTTAAAAATGATTGAATGTGAAACAAATGCCAGGGTGTGTTCAGTTAGTTTCAGATGATGTGCTAAAGCAAAGACAACGACCTGGGAGAATTCCTACAGTCAGGTCAGTGCCAGATTATTTTATCTAAACAATGGGAGCAACCTTTCCTTCTCTCCAACTATTAACTTCAAAGCCTACCCTTGTTTACATAAAACAGGGATCACGAAATGTTGGACTGTGTGAAGGTTCTGTCTGAACCTCAGACAGAACCTTCATTTGTACAGAATTATGTCTATCTGGCTGACAGGATATTGCAAACTTGGAGACTGTCTGAGGCTGGTGCATTCACTGCCAGCCCGCCAGTCATAAACCAGTGCAGGTCCCCCATAGCCACCCTCCCCACGCATTAATTAATTGCCAGGAGCCCTCACGTTCTGACAACCAATGATGTTGCATGCCTTCTCCGCTGCAGTCATTGCTTGCTAGGATCACCAGCATCCTCAAGCTGGCCATACACCTATATATCTGAGGACTTTTTCCATCTGACCATAGAAAATCTGCAGATAATCTATAGGGAGAATGAATCGCGGCTTATTCATATGTAAATAGCGAAGCCCATTCATATGTAAATATCACAGTTGAGACAATTTTCAGTGGGGGGCCAGTAGCCCCTATCTTTAATTTTGGTTTCTTCATTTACGCTAAACTGTCTGGATGGAGGAATCTTCCACTGGGCCAAGCTTCAGTATATTGCTCGTCGGCCCCGCTGGCTGTCTAAATACCTGAACAATCTGATTGGATGCCAGTGGGGCCGACTAGCAATATACTGAAGCTTAGCCCAGCGGGACAGTTTAGCGTATATACAGTTTAGCGTAGATGGACAAATCTGTTGCACTTTTTCCATCTGACCATAGAAAATCTGGAGATACTCTATAGGTGTATGGCCAGCTGTGCAACAACATCACATGCGTGCCCCACCATCGCAGACGCAAAAGTTCTGCCTACACCTGCAGCCTGCTACGCCTCCCAGCTCTTGCCCGCTGAGAAAATGTAAGGTGGTTCTCCCATAATGACAGGCAATTTATGAGAGCATTTTTATTCGTTTTCACCATCAGAGAGCTCCCTTACATCAGGTGTCTCCATTAGAGGGGCTGCTTACATTAAATGAGATCTATGAGGTGAGTGCTTTCCACTCACCTCACAGTTCTAGCCGACCTGTGACAATGAGACTGTCACAGGTCGGCTCAGTAGATCGGGAGGTGAGCGAACATATACCGGGTTCGCTCACCTCTCGATCCTGTCACGGCCCTCTGCCGTGACAGGGGAGGGGCTTGATTCCCCCCTCCACGCTCCTATCCTCCAGCGCTGACTGGCGGATCGGATGATGAGGGGGCAGGTACAGCTGGCTCTGCCTCTAGATAGGCAGAGCCAGCTGTCACTCACGCAGCTGGGCGGATCTCGACATCGATGTCGGGATCCGCTGCAGCGTCTCAGTATTCCGCGAGCTGTAGCTCGCGGTATACTGAGCTTAGGGTAACGGGAGGACGCTAGTTTTTTGTCCTCCCGTTACCCTAAGGAGAACTATGGGGAAAAGCCCTGACCCCATAGTTCTCCTTTTTAATTACTGATGGGAACATCTAATGAAAGGTGCCACTCTGATAGGGACCCGTAATGAAATGGACGGAGTCAAAGCATAAGCTTGGACTTCTGCTAGAAAAAAAAAAATGAATGACTGGACCTCCTTGAATTTTAATTCAATACCCCTGGCGTGAACAATAGTGGTTGACTGCTTTTGTAGCGCATAAACTGACCTGAGGGAGCTTGGTAACCCCTTCACATTTTGCGCCGTCCAAAATTTTGAGCAGGTAGCTCACCAACACCTTGCATTCATGCACACAAGTGTGTATAGGGCCTAACTGTACCTAATACATTTCAATTGTTGTGCTCCAGTTTTTACTCAAGTGTCTGAACTTCATTAGCAGGCTATGTAGATGTGGAGGCTTATAAAGCAGGCCTATCTCTAGGTATATCTCTTTGTCTATCACAGCCATTGTATATAAGCTGACATATGTTAGCTATTTTTAATCCATTCAGTATTTTCTCAGGGTTGTAGTTTGTGCTTAGCGATGTGTAACCTTTCTATGACACGTACGAATTCTGAGTGTCATGTCTCCACTACAAGACTCCCAGGCACAATGAAAAATAAAGCAAACATTTCCTATATATATATATAGATGGTGTTTTGGGCTATGCTCTGTAAGTTTCCTTCCTGTACTAGAAATCCTTGAACTGCTTCTATATCTATACTGGAGCTCAGCAAGGCAGATGGCTTTCAAGATGCTGTGACAAATCTTGGGATTTTATATAATGCAGAGCACAGGACAATTACATGGTATGCAAAGTCAAAACCTGAGTGAGCCAGGGGGGCATGATTAGCTAATGGTGGAGCAGGAGGACGCCAGCCTGACCTGGCTCCCTGTCTTCAGACCCAATCTGGCCTTACACTTGCTCACTCAGGGGAACAATGAATCTCAAATCAACTCTCAACCCTGCGGGATCTACACTTTGCAAGCTACACGCCTTTTATTGAGCACGGCCGCAGGCATCGTTCCCCATAACTATTAGGGTACTCATCCGCTCATAGTCTAGACCAGGGGTCTCAAACCTCCGGCCTTCCAGCTGTGGTGGAACTACAAATCCCATGAGGCATTGCAAGATTCTCACAGGCATGAAAAAAAAAAATCAGTGTGGAGTATTTTTACAAATTGAAAGTAATTGTGTTACACTAGGAAGGTGAAATGCAGTGTATATCAAATATTATGCTTGAAATAAAAGTACATCTTGTTCAGTAAATAAACTAAACTTGCTTTTTAATATGTTATTTTTTTATTACAAATGGAATAACATGGACTGTATATGTTAATAACATTTCAACTAGAGCTGCAGCTAACGATTATTTTCAAAATCGATTAGTTATGTAAAAGAATCAGATTTGCCCCTTAGCACCAATAGCAAATAAAAAGGTAAGTAACTGGCATTATTTGTGCCAGTAGGATATGGACATTGGGGAGTTTAAGGTCTGTGACAATGATGGGGATTTGAGTCTGAATATTGCAGAATAGAATTTGTTTGTTTCCCCAGTCAGAGCACCTGTAGGTCTTCATTTAGAACTGACAGGTCCCTCCACATTCCACAGAAGAGATGTGATCGTGAAATTCAAACATATCTCTGGTAATCCTTTTATGGCTGTCGTAATTAAAGGCATGGCACCAGGCCCTCCATATATTACGAGTGGACAATTTATATCAACAATCAGGTCTGGAGAGGGGGTGACCTCGCATTCTCTTTAAAAGTCATAGAACCTTGAAAAGCAAGTTACATTTTATTAATTTGGAGTTGGGTGGGGATAGGTAAACTAAAGGTTCATCCTCCGCCTGCTTTCCCGCCCCAACCCTGCCTAGGGGCTGGCTTCGGGACACCCCTAAGAGGGGCTTATAAAATATTCTGTGTTGGCAACGAGAGTGGCTCTTGGTTTTAAAGATCATCAAGGAATTAGAAGTCTGAACATCGCAGAAGAGTTCCCCTTTCATCTTTGGACATTATCTGCTTGAAGAAGAGCCCTGCAGACTTCCACTTTGCTTCTTGAACTCTGTCAGAACTCACAATTCCGGGACTGTTAAGTATTCTTCCCTTTTATTTTGCTGTTGTGTATATATATATATATTGTGTCTCTTTTATTAAATCTTTTTTCTGTATATTTTCTGCACCATTTATTTTATTAAAGGACGATCCTAAAAATCGTTAAGCTTATCTCTACGCTCTAAATACGAACTTAAACGTATCCTTGCCTCTCAGAAGAGTGCTACTGTATAGTAAATCCTGTCATATTCCTGTCTGAGAGGACAGCAGTATCACAGGCATTGTTTAAGTGTTTTAAATTGTCGCAGCATTTGCTGGGCACGGGTTGTGTTCCGAAAAACACATGGTGGAAGTTTGGTGGGTAAAGGGTTAACTGCGGAGTTAACCAACCCTGGTGACTATCGCTCTGTCTGCTGGCCTGAGATTGTGTCCTGCGGTCAACCTCAATATTTAAGCTCCATAGCGAGGTTCAACTTTGGCGTGGTGCTATTAAAAAAATTAATTGAGAAAAGGAAAGAAGACACAACAAATACATGCAATTTAATCTCTCATTCTGAACGATTGCTCTCATTTCCCATATTTGTCACTTTTCTCATGGACTAAAATCCTCAGGTTTGCACAGATAGAA